AGAGAGGTAACCACACATTGATGTTTCTCTCCCTCTTTCTCTTTCCCTTCCCCCTGTCTAAAAATAAATAAACTAAATTATTTTAGAAAGGTGTGAAACTAGTCCAAGTTTCCATTAGTAGTTGAGTGGAAAACAAGCTGTGGCACATTTATACAATGGAATACTACACAGCTATAAAAAAGGAGCTATTGCCCTCTGCAACAGCATGGATGGACCTGGAGATTATTTTGCTAAGTGAAATAAGCCAGTCGGAGAAAGACAAACACCATATGGTCTCACTCATGTGGAAAGTAATGAACAAAATAAACTGACGAACAAAATAAAACCAGAGGCATGGATACATGGAACAGACAGACAGATTTCAGAGGGAAGGGGGATGGGAGGACTGGAAGAGATTAGCCAAAGAACTTATACGCATATATGCATAACCCATGGACACACACGACAATGTGGTGAAAGCCAGGAGGGCAGTGGGGACTGAGTGGAGGGGGACAAAGTGGAGGAAAGGGGCGAATATCTGTAATAGTGTCAAGTAAAAAAACAGACAAACACTACATGATTCCACTTATATGAGTAGTGAAATTCATAGACAGAAAGTAGAATGGGTTTGCTACGGGCTGAAAGGAGGTAGGAATGGGAAGTAGCTATTTAATGGGTCTAGATCTTCAGTTTTACAAGATGCAACAGCTCTGGTACACAACAATATGAATGTACTGAACAATACTGACTGTACACTTGAAACATGGCTAAGATGGTAAACTTATTTGTATATTATCTGTATTTCACTACAATTAAAAATAAAATGGTGGGGGGGAGAAAGTAAAGAGCCAGGTGTCTTAGCTACATGCACTGCTATAACCAAATACTGGACTGGGTGGCTTAACCAACAGAGATTTATTTCCTAACAATTCTAGAGGCTGAAAGCCCACAATCAGGGTATCAGCATGGTGCATTCCAGTGAGGCCCTCTTCATGGCTCAACAGATGGCCACCTTCTCACTTTGTCCCTACATGGCCTTTGTCTCAGTGCCTAAGACCTCATTTAACCTTAATTACCTCCTCAAAGCTGTCTCCAAATACAGTCACATTAGGGTTAGGGCTTTACCATATGAATTTGGGGGTACAGGGGTGACACAATTCAGTCCATAGCATCAGGCGAACCCAATGGGGATTGGTCCTAAAGCTCAATTTGGAGAAGGCAATGAGAATTTAAGAGGAAGCAGAGTCAGGAACAGTAGAATGTGTTTAAGAAGCAAAGTGAAGTTAGGTTTTGCTTTATAATACACTTACATACTGAATTTCTTAATGTCCTAGTTCTCACTAGATTGTGAATGCTATTAAGAAAAAAAGTACCTGTGTTGTTTAAGCTGTAACTATATAGCACATGTCAATTCCCTGGGACATCTTGGTTGATCAATAAATAAATGTCAAAAAAGTCAGAGCAGCAATAAAGTAAAAAGAAGTAATGGGGAGGGGTAATGCCTCCAAAGTCTAAATTGCTCATCTTGAGAAACAGGGAATTTTACTGTATAGGAATGAGAAGCAACTGAGGTGATTTACAGACAGGAAAGACATTACTTCATAAGTATTTATATCAGGGGTATCAAACTCATTTTCACCAAGGGCTACATAAGCCTCATGGTTGCCTTGAAAGGGCCTAATGTAATTTCAACTCCTTAACAGTTAAGTAGTAGTCACATTTATACAGTACTGAACTTACATTTGGCCCTTTGAAGGCAACCACAAGCCTGATGTGGTCCCCAGTGAAAATGAGTTTGACATCCTTGATTTAGATGAACCCATGCAAAAGATGTGCTTGAGGAGCTGGAGAAAGAGGTGAGCAGATTAGTAAAGAAGCTACTCCATCAGTTCAGTTGAAATACAACAGGTAGCAGTAGGAGGGAGAAAGTGGAGAAATGCATTTAAAATACATTAGGTTGCGACTTATGTTTAAGTCTTTTATCTACCTTGAGTTTATTTTTGTATATGGTATAAGTTGGTGGTCTCACTGTTTTGCATGTAGCTGTCCAGATCTCCCAACACCATTTTTTGCAGAGGCTATTTTTATTCCATTTTATGCTTCTGTCCCCTTTGTTAAATATTAATTGACCATAGAGACTTGGTTTTATTTCTGAGCTCTCTATTCTGTTCCATCATCTATGTGTCTGTTCTTATGCCAGTACCTGACTGTTTTGATTACTGTGACCTTGTAATATAGTTTGATGTCAGGTATTGTGATGCCTACTACTTTGTTCTTTCTCAAAATTGCTGTGGCTATTCAGAGTTGTTATGGTTCCACATAAATTTTTGAAATATTTGCTCTATATCTGTGAAATATGTCTTTGTGTTTGGTATTTTAACAGGGATTGCACTGAATCTATAAATTGCTTTGGGTAGTTTGTACATCTTGATGATGGCAATTCTTCCAATCCAAGAACACGGTATATGCTTCCATTTACTTGTGTCTTCCTAATTTCTTTCTTCAGCGTTGTGTAGTTTTCTGAGTACAGGTCTTTTACTTCCTTGGTTAGATTTATTCCTAGGTACTTTATTTTTCTTGTTGCTATAGCAAATGTGATTTTCTTCCTGATTTCTGTGTCTGATATTTCATTGTTGGTGTATTTCTGAATACTGACTTTACATCTTCGCTGTTTTACCTTCAATTTCTGAATATTGACTTTGTATCCCACTGTTTTACCAAACTGTCTTATTAGGCTGAGTAGTTTTCTGCTGAAGTCTCTAGAGTTATCTGTGTACACTATCATGTAACCTGCAAACAGTGACAGTTTGACTTCCTCCTTTCCAATTTTCATGCCTTTTATTTCTTTTTCTTGTCTAATAGCTGAGGCTAGAACTTGCAATACTATGTTGAATACAAGTGGTTAGATGAATGGATCAAAAAACTGTGGTACATTTATACAATGGAATGCTATGCAACAGAAAGAAAGAAGGAGTTCCTGTGTTCCACCCTTTGCAACAGCATGGATGGATCTAGAAAGCATTATACTAAGTGAAATAAGCAAGGCAGTGAAGGACAAATACCATATGACTGTACCTATAAGTGGAACCTAATCAACAAAACAAGCAAGCAAAATATAACCAGAGACATTGAAATAAAGAACAAACTGACACTAACCAGAGGGGAGCAGGGAGTGGGACAACAGAGGAAAATAGGGAAGGGCCTTCAAGGAACATATATAAAGGACACATGGACAAAACCAAAGGGGGTAGGATCAAGGATGGGAAGCAGGGATGGGTGGGGTAGGGGGAGAAGGGGGGAAATGGAGACAACTGTACTTGAACAACAATTAAAAACATACATACTTAGAAACATCTAGTTAAATAAAATGTCAATATGGCATCTTAAAAAATAAATAAAATAAAAGACATTAGGTTGAAACATATAAAATTGCTATTATCTTTGACCCAAACACAAAAAGTAGGAAAACATGATTATAAACTAGATGCAGCGGAGTTGAGAGAGTGAGATCAAGGAGAGCCAAGGACAGATGTACCCCACTTTTGTGGCTTGGGTGTCTGGTTGAATAGAGTTTATCAAGGAATAGGGAACGATAAGGAGGATTAGTCTAGGAAGGGCTGTACATGTTGGCTTCTATTTGAATCAGTTGAGCTGCAGACATCTACAGAGAGATGTTGAGTCAACTATGTCCAACATGGTATCCTCTAGCCACATGTGACTATCCAAAACTTAAAAATTCAGTTCCTCGGTCAAACAAGCCACATTCCAAGTGTTCAACAGGTACATGTGGCTAGTGGTCACCCCTTTGGACAGTGTAGATAGAGCTGATTTCCATCATCACAAGTGCTACTGGTCTGGATGGACTGCAGAGTCACATTTGGAAGAATTAGCAAATATGTCATATTTTAAACCAGACAGGGGATGAAATGACTCAAGAAGACTAGTAAGAAGAACAATGAGAAGGAATGGAAACTTGTGGATAAGACAGGTGAAAGGGCAAGAGAAGGACAATGACTCCATGAAAGACACGAGAGGCAGGACAGCAGCGGAAGAGGGTGTCACAGACGCTAACATGAGAGTTCTTCCAGGGAGATGGAGTGGGGACAGAGTCGTCAGGCACTGCATGCAGGTGTGGTGAGGTGAGGAGCAGGCAGGACCCACTGGATACAACTGTAATTAGGTCGCTGGTGAGTGCAAGTCATAGGCGTATGAAGAGAGAGATCAAAGCCTCATGCAGCAAACTGAAGTGTGAATGGGAAGTGTGATGACATTTGCCAGAGAGCAGAACTTTAAATTGTTTGCTAAACAACCTGCTTATGACAGGTACTTGAGAGAAATATTTACGGAGAGGTATTTTAAGGATGTGAACGTACAGGTCATTCATACTGACCTCCAGCTAGTCTATCATTCCTGATTTCAGCAGGATGATCAGGAAAATACCTCTCTCAACTTCAACTTCTGTTTTTGTTACCTGAACAACTGCACAACAAAAGCCCTCTTTGGCAATATGTCCTCTACTTTCACTGAGGAAAAAATGAGAACAATATCCTACATTTATTTCAGGGTTGTTCTTATTAGAAAGATTTACACTATCATGTAAATGAAGACCAACGAAGACATTTTTTTCCTGACTTTGATGATTTTAGATTCCGTGAGGAATGTTTGGTTCAAGCTTGTCTTGAACCTTTAAACAAACCTTTAAACTAAAGGTCCTTTAAACTAAAGGTCCTTTATATATGTTTAAAGGTTATATACAAACCTTTAAACTAATATTGCCTGTCTGAATCTGACATGCCTAATTAGAAAAGTCAGGAAGAAATTTACAGCTGCACTTTGGGAAACCTGTAAAATCAGAAGACCTGCATCGATCTGCATGACAACTCTGCTGTGCTACTCATCAACTTTTCTGCATCTTCCCTGAAAGATGCGATACATTTCTACTTCTATTTTTCCACATCAGCGTATGGTTCTTCAACCACCGATAAAATCCATTCTATAAAAGGTGTTAATGAATAACTCACTTGGAGTATGTTCATTTTCTGATGCTCTTGGGAGAGGGTAGAGGACTGTGAAGGATAACCTGGGGGTAAGGAGAGAGGAACGGAATTATGAAAGGTCTGGTGAGCCTCTGCATTTACTTGCCTAAAAAAAATCTCATCAGACCAGCTGGGGAAGAGGCCTACCCCATGGAAAAATGTTCCACTGATCCTTGGTTGGGGGCAGGAAGCACCACAGAGAGAGTGCTTCCTGAATATGGACATCTCTGGTATGATCACGTGGATTTAACCTTGCTAATTTTCATTGGGTGATTGGAGATTATTTCTCTATTGATTTTTTAAAAAGTGTATCCCCTCTGACTAGTTAACAAAAAAATCAAAACAGAGGATTAATATTATGGCTATTATAGTTAATATTATCAATTATATTTAATAGTATTATCACTTACACCTTGAGTTAGAAAATCAACAGAAAACTGAAAAGAATGATAAGATGCTTCCTTATTAAAAATTTTAAAATCTCTTGGCTCTAGTTTGTTTCAATTTCTCAAAAAGACTTTTAAGTTTCCCTTTCTGTTTTCCCCCTGATAGATAAAATTCCTAAGTAAAATTCACTTTTTTTTAATTGTATTGAATTTACTGGTATGACATCAGTTAATAAGATTACATAGGTTTCATGTGTACAATTACATCATCTGTATATTGTGTGTTAACTACCCCAAATCAAGTCTCCTTCCATCACTCTTTACCCCCCTCCTTTACCCTCTGCTAGCACCCCCACCTCCCAAAAGCCTTATCAAAAATATTTTTGGTAAGACGCTTCTAGTGACTTAACTGTGACAGAATGAATAGCACCACGCTGGCTGACCATCTCAGGTTCAAGATTTTTAAGGTTTCGAGAATTGGAAATAGAAATCCCTCCCTATACCATCATTTTGTGATTCTATTAAGTTCAGGATAAAGGAAACTCCAGCATATCTTTAGGTGCCACATGTGATGGACATGATGTAAGAATGGTTCAGAACCTGGAAAGAAGGAAGAAGAAAATGGAGGGCTATTTAAGAAGACAGACTTTCCTTGGCTCTGGCTGTGGCTTTGCCTGTGCAGCTTGACAGTCAGCCCTCCCTCTGAGCCCCAGCTTACCACCTTCTGCAAGCTGGTCCACAGTTTCCACTGTCACACAGACTGTGATGGCTTCTGGATATGGCGACATCACCAAGTCTGGCTCTCTCTGGACAAGGTGACTAAGAACTGCTTCTGGGGGAGCAAATCAGGACCCACTTCATTTTGGGTTCTCCAGCATCTGGTCTGAAGCTCTGGTCACAGCAGCTCCTGTCAGATGGGCTGTTCTTCCAGGTGGGACTCCTATCCCCAGGGTTCCTTCCTTCCTGCCACACAAAGCCACTTTGTTCCAGACATTGAGACTTAGGCCTAGGAAACAAATTCACTTCAGCTGAAACTTTCATCAAGAGCAGTGTTTCTCAATTTCAACACTACCGACATTTGGGGCCAAATCATTCTTTAGCGTGGGGGCTGTCCTGTGCATTGGAGGACGACCTGCAGCATTTCTGGCCCCCAACCGCCAGGTGCCAGTGGCAGTCCTCCCAGTTGTGACAACCAAAAACATCTCCAGACATTTCCAAAAATCATCTGGGGAGCAAAATCACCCTAGTTGGGAACCACTGGTGTATATGATAAAGTTAAACCTGATTCTATGGGAATTCATTAGAACTGTGCTATCCACTATTGTAGCCACTAGCCACATCCTACTGCTGAGCACCTGAAATGTGGCTCCTGCCACATGTTGAAATAATAACATTTTGTGTACATTAAGATAAACACAATACAGTAAGTCCTCCCTTAACATCATCGGCAAGTTCTTGGAAACTGTGGCTTTAAGTGAAATGGCATATAACAAACAATTTTACCACAACTAATGGATATAAAAAAGAGTTAAGTTCCTGTGGCATATTTCTGGTCATAAAAACATCCCTAAACTTCTAAATAAAGACCCCAAACACTCCCAATACTAAATATTGAAATAAATGTTAGCTATACACATTTAAGAAAGATTAGTGGAAACAAGATAATGATTCTTCTCACTTATTCAAATTTAGGGTGTCGACAGCCTCCCCAGCAGCTCTGGGGACAAGGCAGGACCCCACCGTGACCAGGACACCCTTCCATTGCACACTCACACACACCCACACTCACTCATATTGGAACAATGTTGACATGTCATTTAACCTAATGGTGACACATCTTTGGAATGTGGGAGGAAACTGGAGTCCCTGGAGAAAACCCACGCAACATGAGGAGACCCAACAAACTCCACAAAGACAGTGGCCCAGCCGGGAATGGAATTTTTTTCACCCTCGTTAATGTTATTAGAAAACACTGTTGAATGAAATGTTGTTCAAGGATCTGCTACTGTATGTTCTTAAAATTAATTTCACATGTTTATTTTTACTTTTAATGTGGCCACTAGAACATTTAAAATGATATATAAGGCTCACCTTACCCTTCTATTGGACAGCACTGTGCTAGACTATCGGGCCGTGCCTTCTGAAGACAGACAGCCTGGACAGTGCAGGAGGTGCCAGGAGCCTTACCTGGAGGTATTGGAGACATGCCAGAAATTCCAGAATATATACACTTGTCGGAGAGTGAGACATGGTTCACACTGACTTTACAGCTCTGGGGATCAGACACAAGTCACTCTGCTAGTTCTGTGAAAGCTGCAACATTGGGTTTTAGGTAGGTAGGGTTTAGGAATAGTCTGAATTTGGGAGTAAATTGTACCTGTATTTGCATCCTAGTTTCCTCACCTTTGTGACCCTGACTCTGTATATTTTACTCCTCCAAGCCCATTTTTTTTATTTTAATGATATGGTTATTTTTTAATAGGGTGGTTGTGAGAATTAAATGAAATGCTAAATGAAAAAAAACAGTTGTCTTCCAAATATGATGAGATCCAACATGTAACACTGAGTTACTTAGCTAGTCCTTATCAGTGCTCATTAACTAGCACTTCGTGAAGTAAACGCTTTACAGTTACGACTTTTCTCTCTCTAGACAATGCCACAAAGCAGTTTTAATAACATCCTTTTTTTTTTTTTTTTTTTAACAAATGACAAACCTGACACATGCCCAGTGACAGACACGAAACTGACCTGGTCCCTCTGGCTCCTAAGCTGGGCTTCTCACTGCAGACCCCAGGCCCAGGCGTGCTTTGAGTCAGGTTCAGGGTTTGTCAATATCAGTCAGTATCGCAAAGCGAATTCCCTCCTGCCACGCGCAAGGGATTTTCCCCCAGGGCCGGCAGCACTGAGCTGCCACACCCCACCCGCACAGAGCATCTCCGGACCAGGGATGAGCCCCACCAGTGACCACAGAGACTTCGGGGTTGGGGCCCGCCCCCACCCACCTTTCCCAGGTCTACATCCAGGACCGGCTCTGGGATAGGCGGTCGCAGCCCCACTTTCGGGGGGTTAGATCCCAGAACTTCCTGTTTTCTCCCCCTAAACACAAGCCCTCACCCGGGTGCTGGGCCCCCAGCTGCGCGAGGGTGCGTCCCGGCCAAGAGCTCACCTGAGGTTGGAACCCTCAGCTCTAGCGAGGCAGGAGGGAGCGGCACCAGCAAAGTGGAACTGGCTGCACGTGCGCAGAGAAAAGCACTGGAATGGATATGCGACAACCCTCACTGTTCAAGACAACATTTCCTGTAAAGACTGCGACCTCTCACAAATGGTGCTTGTAGAATTGGGGAGTCATGTGCTGGTATTAACAGTCTGGGTATAACTGGAGAGTAGATTCTACCACAGCCCCAGAAGTTATAGATTAAACTTTGACTTACGAGCAAATACAATGTGCGGTTCTCAGTGGATCCTGGTTTGAGAAAACAAAACATTTGGGAACGAATGTGAGAGTTTGCATATGGACTGGTATGAAGGGAAGTTACTATTACTTTTGTTAATTCTGATAATGACATTAAGATTATGTAGGCAAGTTTACTTCGTTTTCAAGATACATAGTAAAGCAGTTAGCATTGTATTATTTATTTGTAATGAAATAACTGGAAAGGCAAATACAGCAAAATGTTAGTTCTACCTCTAGAATATTGGTATTCTTATTTTACTATTTTTTACTTTTCTCTGTGTCTGGAAATTTTGTAATATAAAGTTTATGAAGGGAAACACTTGAACCGTTCAAAGCGTGCCTTTTAACTCAGAGCTGCTAAGTAAAGGTGTATGAGTCAAATGCCAAAACTAAAAACAATTTTGTAACAAGTTTGATGTCCTTTATTCAAGGGAAACAATCCATGGAATGAGGAATTGCAATGCCTAACAAGCAGTGGATTACTCTTCTGACAGATTTTGGGCAAGGGCAAATTTTATAGAACACTTGAAGAGGGAACATGGAAATGGCGTGATTGCCTAGGAGATCAGAGATTTTCCCCATAAGGCAGGTTCTGTCTTCTAGGGTAAATCAAGCTAGCAAAAGCTGAGAGAGAGGATCCTTAACAGTGAGATGTATTCCCATAAATTTAGGCTGACTTAGGTTTTCATTTGTAACATAACCCGTTGTGTGAGTTCTGCTACATTAGGGGTAATAATGATATATCACTGTAGGTTCCTTGTGTGTAACAGATGTACCACTCTGGTACAGAATGTGTTTAGTCAGAAAGGCTATAGGAGTTGGGGGCACAGAAAATATATAGGAACGCTCTGTACTTTCCACTCAATTTCTCTGTGAACATAAAACTGTTCTAAAAAATAAAACCCATTACAAGGGGGGTAAAAGAACACAAAGACATCCTGAAAGAGCTCACAATGACCAAAGCTGGAACATATTTACCAAAATAATGAATCCAGTAATGGAATAAGCCCAAAGAATGAAATAAATCTCCATGTGCCCATATAAGATAAAACAAATGAAGGAACAGATCTTTCTAACAGAACTCCAACAACTGTAGAAGATGTCAATGTACTGTTGTAGACCGCTCTGCCTGATTTTAGGAACTGTATCTCTACCCCTTGTGGCTAAGGGTGAGAGACGACCTTTGGAATGCCAGCTGCAGGGGACAAAGCCTGTCTCTGGTAGCAAACGCTGCCTCAGTTCCTCTCCCTGCCCCCAGAGCTTGGTCGGAAGTCAATGACAGGTAAGACCCCTCACAGTGGGGGGCAACCTAAGCCAGACTTGATCACTTGGGAGGCCTTCATGGAAGGACTGAGGGGGCTGCAACAAAGAGCAATGGACTCTCCCCCCTCCCCCCACCCCAGCTTTGTCAAAGCCCAAGTCCCCATGTTCTCTGGGAGAATCGCTTCCTGGCTCTAATCCCCTTAAGCCTGAATACCTGTTGGGGAGAGGTGTAGCTCCTTGTCTTGCTAGAGTATGTCCTGAGGAAAAATCTGGCACCACAAAGACTTGCTGATAAACCTGTGAAATCTGCTCTGCTAAGAGTGCTTTCATTCATATGATAAGGGTGCAAGAGGAAATGAGTATGTCTCCCAAAGTTTCTGCAACTCTCTTCCTGACAGACGCTGACTCAGACTCTGAAGCCCTCAGATTTCTTTGAAATGTAATCTACTGTTTGATCCTTGCCGCCCTGTATTCCTGTGTATTACAACCCAATAAAAGGCTATGGAGGAGGACACTCAGGGCCTTTTTCTCCTTGGAGAAACTGGCCGCTGCTGGCCTTTGTCTCCCCTGAGAAACTGGCCACAGCCTACTCCTCCTCCCCAAGTAGATCACCACCATGTCTCGGCCATATTTATTCACTCGTGTCCATGGCACCGAGGGGGACTCATGAAGAAGTTGCCCCCACAATGTACTTCAGCCAAATACTGCCATCAATACACTTGTAGTTCAACAATTTGGATTTTAATAGTAATTGCAGTGAGGTTGAAGACACATATATCTGGCAAATATGAAGTATTGAGAGTGTTAGCAAGGAATTATAGGATTGGGGTTTTGGTTACTTCATTTTGCAGAGCTTCCAAGGCTGCTGAATTTGGTCAGGATTGGGAGTTGCAAAGTAAATGAATGAATAAATAATAAAAAGCAGCACTCACTCATATCAGCTGAGGTCACTGGTCTGATTCCCAGTCAGGGCACATGTGTGGGTTGCATGCCAGGACCCTAGTTGGGGGTGTGGGGAAAGTACTCCTATAGGTGTTTCTCTCTCTTTAAAAATAAATAAAATTATTTTTA